AGTCAGTATAGCTACTTTTTACATTGCAGATTCAATCAGTATAGCTACTTTTTTACATTACAGATTCAGTCAGTATAGCTATTTTTTACATTGCAGATTCAATCAGTATAGCTACTTTTTTACATTACAGATTCAGTCAGTATAGCTACTTTTTTACATTGCAGATTCAATCAGTATAGCTACTTTTTTACATTACTGATTCAGTCAGAATAGCTACTTTTTTACATTACTGATTCAGTCAGTATAGCTACTTTTTTACATTACTGATTCAGTCAGTACAGCTACTTTTATACATTACTGATTCAGTCAGTATAGCTTAAGTGTGCAATGAACCATCTCTAAGAGCTCACTGTAAAAAGAACTACAAACAGTTACTTAGAACCAAATTCAGCTTTAGTGTACAATGAGCCATCTAAGAATTCACTACAATTCCATTCTACTGTGGAAACAAGGTCACCTTACATGCATAGAGATAATAGATCCTACTGTTTGAAATAAAGTTAACTTACATGTGTAGTGAGTCAGAGTATTCACTGTACTGCAGAACCAAACTTAGATTACATATGTAACGAGTTATTTGAGTTATAGATTACGTTATAGATTGATTCAGTATAGCTACTTTTTTACATTACTGGTTTTTACATTAAGTAAATCTATAAAAAAAACTTTATAGTAAAGGAAAATATTTCAACCAAATATTTCAAAAAATAATAACAAGTGTGCCATATCTTTTAAAGACCTAATGATACTAAACTATACTATCACTTATTTCACAGTAGGCACAGAATATCAAATGTTTAAGTTTCAGCTAAGCATTCATTCAAGTAATTACTTAACAAATAAACCAAATTTGTTGTATATTTTGAGAACTCACAATCCACTATAAAGACCATAACTTGACAAAATTTTATTGTAACATAATGGAAGAAGAAGAATATGACTGTATGACAAGTGCGCCATATGAACTATGAATGAACCCCCTTTAATGCACAACCAAATTTATATAACATGAGTATTGTACTATGAATGAGCCCACTTTACTGCAGAACAAACCCAACCTTCATGACATAAGCCATTCTGATACAAAGCTAATCATATGACCTATTCCAGAGCTCACAGTACACAAGAATCAATACTAAATTTGTAAAGAATATTAAATTAATCCAATACTATGAACAAAGAGAAAATGTGAAAGCTTCTTCAAAATGTAATGTAAAACATAAAAACTGTTTAAAATGTCTTAGTCTGTTAAGCAGCAAATAATAATAAAAAAAAAGAGATACAAGTATGGATATTTTTAAAGACCTAATGATACTAAACTATACTATCACTTATTTCACAGTAGGCACAGAATATCAAATGTTTAAGTTTCAGCTAAGCATTCATTCATGTAATTACTTAACAATTAAACCAAATTTGTTGTATATTTTGAGAACTCACAATCCACTCTAAAGACACATCTGAAACATCTACGTAATTAATTAAATTGCAATTGCATTTTAAGTAAATCTATAAAAAACTTTATAGTAAAGGAAAATATTTCACCAAATATTTCAAAAAATAATAACAAGTGTGCCATATCTTATCCTTTTTTTTTTCTAGGAAGACATTTCAGCAAATTCTCTACACTTAATAATTAATTAATACTATCAAATGCCCTCACCATAACTTGACAAAAGTTTATTATAACATAATGCAAGAAGGAGAATACGACTGTATGACAAATAATATTTAATACAAAAGCTAAAAAAGAAAAAAACTGTGAACACCCCCAAAAAGTAATAAATGTGACTGATTTTCATACATTATGATGACATTTTAGATGAGAACTCAGCAACAGAGTTTACAGTTCTAAATTTTCAACATTCTCTACATACGAAAAGTTAAAGAATAAGGCTTAAACCACATTCCTCAATATTATAAAATTATATTATAATGAGTGCTTTTAGCTGTTTTAAGAAAAGTATTATGTTCAATATACTATATTTCCCTTTCACAATGTGAGTTTCCACAATGTACTTGGTACCAAAACATGAAGACAGCAATGTTATAAAATAACATCATTAGGAATCTTTCTTCAGCCTCTAAAAATACAATACTACTATATTTTATAAACTTCATGTGAATACACAACTTGATAAATGCATACATGTACAAGTCAGCCACTGTTATTTCATAAACAAAGCAAACTAAACACTACTACACTTGGTTACAGCATCTCTTCAAAAGTTGTCATGATGTCACTTTGTCGGTTCATGTCTATTTCACCTGCCATCTGTAATGGAAATAAAAGAATCTAGCTTGAATTAGAATTAAATTATGTTTTAATGATTCAAATAATAAAAGCCTAAACAAGGACAGAAAACTACTCCAAATAAATAACACATTTATATACTTTGAGATTTAAAAAATTGGTTATTCTGAACAAATAACATTTCAAACAAGAGTTTTAACTTACAGCTTCCCTTCGTCTTTTTGCCTGTTCTCTCTGTTGTTCACGGTCTTCAGTTGCAGAAGTCTGCTGATTGTTGAAAAATTGAGGTTTCTTATCACTCTGAGATCGATGAGCTTTCCATACTTTTTCTAAAGCCTCTTCTTCATCTTTTCCCCTTCATCACCAAATTAAACAATTATGCTATGTTTAAAATAACTTTATTTTACAAGGTCTAATCAAAAACTTAAGTATTTTCAAAACAAAACTAAACTAAAAACTCTAGCATTCTATTATTCATTTCTCAAGATTAAGATTAAGAGCAAAAATCAAATTGGACTATCTGGTGAGTCCACTGCAGGGAATCAAACCCCAGATTTTAAAGTCTAGACTTACTGCTGTCCCACCGGAGAAACCAAGCTTAAGAACAAGGAAACATGACTAAAACAGCCATTCAAAATGAGAGCTGTGCAATTAATCTTATACATCAATTAATGTCATTAAAATAATCAAAATTAGTGTTTCAAGTTACTACTGTTTTTGATTAATTCAACTATTGAAATAATCAAAATACTGCTAATATGATTTCTCATTGTTATTTTTGATTAAGTCAATGTTGTTCAGTTTAATTAATTAGCATCACAATTCATAAAAATAATCAAGTAATCAAAGTTGGTGTTTCTGATTGTTCTAACTCTTTGTGTAAATGAACTATTAGGTACTATTATTTTTGTTGGGGTGACAGAGTTCAATGGTATGCACATGTTCTATTTGTACACAAGTTATATTGGTTAGACAAATAACCACAATAATGCCTGTTGTTCATACTTATCTTATATGTCTAAATAACCGTGCAGCTATAAATTTATATAATGCTTATTTATTACAAGCTACAAATATAACTTAAGATAGGATTACTTTAATAAAAACAGCTATGACAAGTTAATATTCATTATTCTTTATTTGCTGAAAAAAGATGTTGATTGCTGAATAGCTAACTCATTTAAATGACATGACTAGACATGAACCAATAACAATTTAAGTTCTTAGCCTATTTACACAAACAGAATTCCTGTTGAATCACCACTAGTTCCAGATAGATGGGGAGCACTAAAGATTGAAAACAAAGTGCCTGTCATCACATTTCTTAAACACTGCCAGTACAGTAAGTTGTTTGATTTATTGATTTCTCAGCATGTACATGTGTTTATAGTTTCTTCCAACCAAAACCATAAAATGTAAACATATGAATGATTTTGATGTGTTATTTCTAAATTTCTTTCCATGTTAACAAGTTCTTGCTTAAACTTGTGTTTTTTATACTTGTAATGTTGTTAGTTATTTTTTTAAGTTTTTCATACTGATAAGGCAATTATAAAAAGAGTAAACAAAATCTGTAATAAACACTTTTCCACATCACCATTATTTTAATATTTCTTACAATACTTCAATTTCCACCTTAACATTTTAATCTATCCAAGGAGATTCTCTAGTATCATCACAATTTGACTGTAGTAGATACTGAACTATCTTTGTTTGTTTAGGATAATAGTAAAACTGTTTTCACTGAATTATATATTATCTATCACACATTGTGACAAGAATTTTACTAGTTTTATCACATGAAATTTAAGGACAGTTATTTTTGATAACTAATGAGTTTATTTAATTTTAGTAGCCTTGTGAAAATTAATTGGAAGGAATCAACAAAATGGTATAAATCACACTTTCATCTTGTTATAGGTTTCATACTATATTGCAAGTATGATAAATTTTAACGTACAACAGTTTAGGATTAAAAAAAGTTATTTAATCCTAAACTGTTGTACCTGAAGATGTCTATTAAAACAATTAAAGGGGTGGTTTGAAAAGGTTTTTAAAAAACCCAAACATGCTGAAAATAGGAAGATTATTCTCATGTAAAAATAATAAGTTAATTGAATATGATAATTTTCCTACACTGAAAACATATTTCTAACAGGTACTTACTTCCACTCACATACATAGCTAGAATCCCACATTGAAGGGACTGGTTCAAGGGAGAAAAGAGAAGCATCCCCAAAAGCATTAGAAGAACAGACCCCAAGAGGGAACCCTCATAGAAGAGGATGATATTTGGAAGACCACATTACTTCTGTACCAGGCATACTCTTCGGCCAGACACGAGACTGAGTTGGGTGGACATAATGAGGACCACATCTGATTTTGGGTATAAGAAGGGATATATCCCAAATTGTAGAGTGACTATGGCACAACGAATCATACACGTCAAGCCAACTGCATCCAATACTCTACTACCAGGAACTGACATCTACGCAGGTGTAGGACGAGGATCATACTATCAGTAAGTCAAATTCAATCCAAAAGAGGATCATATTGTCTTCACCTCAAGTCCAGTCAACTGGAGGGGGAATTATCACCACCTGCAGATGAACACGGCACATGTGATCAGAATTAAATACAGATATATCCCTCTCAAATCAAACATACCAGAACCACCCCAAATGCAGTACCATCCCTGGCATAAAGACACTGAGGGGAGTGCAAGTGGAGGAAGTAAAGCAATGACCAAGTGCACCCACTGTGACCCATAACACAGAAAAGTGCACCCCGAGAACAAAGTGTTTGAGAACAAAGGAAATTATAACGAATGCCTCCCTGGTGATTGATATACACCACGACCATAGAATTGTCTGTATGGATCAAGACAACACAATTGCAGGCAAGAGGATAAAAATGATCCAAAGCTCACTGGACAGCAAGCAACTCCAGGATTTTGATATGGTAAGACCTATCTGTAGTAGACTCTAGACTTGAAGCAACTTGCTCTCTCCCCAAAATATCCCAACAATAGAGGAACCACATATGTAAAGAAAAAGTGAAGTCAACAATGAGGTAATTAGGACAAATGTGTTCCCTGAGAAACCCTCAGGATCACAGTGGATCAACCTGGAGAGAAGATGGATGGTGGACAAGTACCTTAGGATAGAGGTGAGGATAAGAAAAGGTGAGAAAACTGGGCAAGGGACAAAAGAACGGTACATTCAGTATTCCCCCCCCCCCCAAAAAAAGATAAAATGGATTCCAAGCAAATCTAGGAATGGAAAATCAGCCTTATAGTATGCCAAAGCAAGCTAGTCTGCAGCCTGTGGAGGGTGAGGCATACTCTCGCCATCATGTAACTGAGATAGAAAACACTCAGCATGAACCCCAAAATCAGGAAAGGGTGGAAATACAAAATACTGAGAGGAAGAATATCATGTCACAAGGAAGGTAGAGGGTTATAGGAAATTGGAGAAAGGGATAAAACAGAACATACCTGTGAAATCATGTCCAAAAAAGCTGTGTTAGGCAAAATGGAACCCACAAGAGTAACCGAGGGAGACACAGCAAATTCAGGTGGAGGAAAAAGGCTTTCAAAACTGCTGACATCCAGGCTCGGCTTATTCAGGAGGAAGTTGGGCAACATCAGGAGAAGAAGGTTGGTTCAAATAATGATCGATTGTAGTTAATTCCAGTTACTCGAGTTACTCCCACTCGAAGCTTGAGTAACTGTGCTGGTAGAAGGCACAACCTACGACATGGTAACATTCATTTTGGAACTCATAATGTAAACTAAACACAACTGTGTTGCTAAAGAAAGACAAATACAGAAAATTAATTAATTTCTGTAACTAGGTTTCGAAAGTGAAATAATATCACTACAAAATATTAAAATGAAAATTATAGGTTGTAAACTAGAAATAAAAGCTACGAAAATTCAAATTCGATTTGAGAGGGCACTAAAGAAAACATCATAACACAAGTACTGCCAAACGAGAAGTGATAGGTAGAAGAGCATAGAGGGAATCACATGTGTCATGTGTGTGTGTGTGTGTGTGCAACACATCTATTGGTGGAGGTTTATCGCATGATAATTTGCATGTATGAATCAGTTAAACCATGTGAACCGAGTGGCTACATAGGAATAAAAGGCCTGTGGTGTACAAAAAACTTTGCATATAGAGGGCAGCACTGAACAAGAATAGCTATGTATATGAACGAAAGTAAGGTACTTTGTCGAAATTAATTGATTAATGATTCCAACAATTAATCAGTTAGCAAATTTCACTAACTGCCTCACTTTATTCAAGATAAAGGTAATTGTCAACAAGTTATAAAAGGATTAAAATAAATCTTAATTTTGTAAGAAACTTCAAAAGTTTAAGCAGTTTACAGAGTAAAAAACTAATATTTAAAAATTATTCACGATTTCTGGGGTTTTTGAAAAAAAAAAGGCCTTTTTATCAAATTATTGGTTTCTAATGTAATATTAATTACGAGCAAATCTTTTAGTTTTTGGGATGTGTGTAATCTGAGCATATGTTGCCTGTGAGTCACTGATAGTTTAGAGAGAGATACCTATACTAACTGTTTCCACAGCAACACACAAGCTTAGAGAAACTACACATTCAGCTATTGAGATCTGTTTACCTTTGTTTCTCTCTCTCCAAACGTAATCTCTCTTTTTCTACTTGCTCTTTCTGATGTCTCCTCCACTCCTGATGTTCTAACAGTTGTTGCTGCTGCATACAATATACAGAGAGAGTTTGAAATGAGCAATATTATTAATATTATCATGAAGAAAAGGAAGAGTATTTCATATTGGTAGGCATGAAAATAATATCATGTTTTCATACTCAAAAGATATATCAATATGGTAGGAAGTGGTATTTCAGAACAGTATTATCATGATAGAAAGATATGAATATTTAAATAAATTCAAATATAATACTACTTTTCCCATTTTAACTTTTTCAATGATTAGGGGTGGGGGGGTTCATTCTGGAAAACTGGTGTTTTAGGGATTTTGATAGATCTTGATGAAAGGTGTTTGGCACAATTTTGAAAATGAAACAAAAGCTATATATTAATGAAAATATGACGTAATGAAATCTATATGGATTATACTATGGTGTTACCATACTGGGTACTATACCATCCTTCTTATAATTACTCTTTATTGCAGAAATGGCATTTGTAATTTGAGAATCACTAAGGAAATCATTTTGTAATGCATCGTGCACCTGCTTCAATTTCAACTCTGCACTGCATCTTTGGGCTTTACTGTGCTGTTAGTTTCACATAATATTGAAACTAATGATACTATAGTGTCCGTTGTTTTATGTTTTATTGTCATTGCAGTAACTAATTGATGAATCTCCGATTCAGCTGGTATATCAAATCAATTGGGATATCTTCGAATAAGTTCTTCCCTTATTTGATCTGGACCCACAGTTTAGTTTAATTGCTACACTTAAATCATCACATATACAACCACATCTAGAACTTTTCTAGAATGTTTCATTGCTACATCATTTTACTTTAGATTTACAAGTTAATTTCTCCATGAGGGCTCTCATGGGCTCAGATCAGGTCATGGGTCCAGCAACCTAGACTTCGGAAATAGTGCCAAACGTCTTCTTTTTGTCTAATTGAAACAACCCAAATGTTTCTGGAATTACTCACTTTCTAGGTTTCACATTAAGATGCCTTGCTGGCTCGTGTGGCAGGTATTAAAAAACAAATAGTACAGACATCACATATATACATACATATATATACATGTTCTTTTGCTAGTAAAATTGGTTTCTCTAGATTTGACTGAGTAATAATAATAATCTAACACAATATTTATAAATAATCTTTTAACCTTTCACAAGGTTTTTAACATCAATATAAGTACTACAATTAAAGTTTTCCACAAAATCCTTCACTTACCTTATATTTTCTGACCTCTAAGTTATATGTGTAAATGTAATTTTCATTACAATAATCAGATCCAAGAATAATATGACAAATGAACCAAACAACTCATAAAATAATTAGGTTTGTGGATTTTGATCACAGAATAAAATTTACTCTTACTATTTATAGAGAAACATTACTTCTAACAGAATAATAAAATGCTTTTTAAAATTAAAATTTATTGATAAATTGTCAATCATTTCAAACATTCATCCAAAATTCTGTAAATCTCTGACAATTACATTAGTTAAAGAAAAAAATCCATTTAACAATAATTAATGTTATAATCCAAAGTGCTTTTATGTAATTATAGAATACAACTTTTGAAATGACTGAATTTTATTTCTACATATTTTGTAACACATCAGATAAGATAGTTGTAACTGAAATACTTTAAACAACTTAAAATATTGATTGTATATGGTTTTATTGGCTCATAACAACCCTCTATCTCCCCCCCACCCACTAGTAAGATAAAACAAGTTATCTATGATGGAACAAAGTTGGACTTGGAGGATTTTTACCTTGTCTTGTTTCTCTTTTGCTTGTTTTTTGAACTGTTGGAAACTGTGCAGAGCTGACCGCTGGTTCAGTGAAGTCTGTGTAGAGCTTGGACTGGTACTGACTGGCTGAATAAGACTTGACCAGGACCTAAGATTTTTCAGTTTTGATTTACCCTGTTAGATGGCAAACAACTAGAATTTGTAAAGATCTCTCACATTAGAACAATGTCGATAATGCTACAAAATATCATAGTAAATAGTTAAATTTTTCTCTCTCTCACTTTAACCCTTTCACATTTTAGAGAGTTTCATCCAAAATTTAATTAATCTATTTTATTAACAATGTATACAAATGAACTTACCATCAAAATGTAGGTAATAAACCAAGTTTTAATATTATATAACTTTTACATTTTTGATTTTATAAGGAAATATTTTTAACAAATCTTCAATCTCCTCTAGTATGAGAATCGTGACATTTGTTCTCTAGGTTTTTTCCCTTCTCTAATTTACTTACTACCCCTCCCCGAAGTACAGAATTTAGTGTAAATTACTCATAATAACATTGATTTTACCAAAGCAAAGTCTAATTTTATAGTCTTCAATGTTATTTGTTTACAGGGTCATAAACTAGAAAACAGACCCACTTGCAACACCCACCTGTCACATTCTCTTTCTCTCATGGTGTTCAGGTCAAAAAGCTTAGGGAATTATTGTAAGGCTCTTATGTCATAGTTAGAAAGCCAGTTGAACTATAATAGTTGTAGGACATTGTTTGCTCATGCATGTTATTATTATGTGTTCTTAGTTGCATTATTTAAGGAAATAAAAATCATTTAGTGTACTAGTACCATTAGTATGAAAAAAGTAGGTTTAAATTTCATTTGTAATTGACAGAAAAAAACAAGAGATCATAGTTAAGTATTATATTCCTTGTTTTACATGTATATTCTTTATTTAGTATTATAAAATCAACTAAAATGTAAGAATTAGAAACTTATTAGATTAGATAAGATAATGAAAAATAATAAAAATTCTTCAAGATGTATGTTCTGAGCAGCTTGTGTGTTATATCATTCAGTACAGTAATGTTGATCTACTAAGCTTTTGCCAAGTGATTTACAACATGTGTGGCAGGGTTATTAATTAGACATTGTTCAAATGGCAATAAAACCCAATAAAATTAAGTAGCAACAGATGCAGACTGTTACAAGCATTAAGCTATTTAGGATAAACAATTGTAGTTTCCTGCAGTAATTCTAGAAAGAAAAAAATGTAATTTAGATTTATTTCTTATTTTTTATGGTGGTTACAAGGTCAGTCAAATCAACCATGTCTATATAGAGTTGAGACAGAGAAAGTAAGAAATAAAGTATGAAGCTTTACTGAAAAAGAAAAAAAAAACGTTGGTATTTATCAAAGAGGTTTTTTTCAGATGAAGAAAAGTATTTTTAATTTTAACCTGAAAATCACTTTGCACTCTGAGCAGTCAACACCCTGGTTCCAAATATTCACAGACAAATCAGTAGTAGAAATAATTAATTTACAAATCTGATTTTTATATACAAAAGACTGGTAAAGTTTTCTGAAAGCTTGCCAAATTTCATGAAGAGACACAAAACATATCAAACATTATTGTATGGAAACTCTGATGGTTACAAGGTCAGTCAAATCAACTGAGCCGGTAAGGAAAGAGGTAAATGGGTAACCAAAACAAAAAAAATTGTATACATATTAATAAATACCTGTATATTAGATTATCTGAATGTTTTTACAACATACTGTTCAAACATATTTTTAAATGTGCCCCTTCAATGTAATGATGGACATTTAGTTATAATTTACTTTTCTGTTGATTTCATTGGGTTATAATATTTTATGAACCCCATAGATACTAAACCTTAATGATGTTTAGTCTTTGTTTGTTATAGCTGACATCATTTAGATCTTAATAAATTCAACTGTTTCATTTCTAAAGACAAATAGAGTTAAATTTATTTCAATTATTATAATATACACTTGAATGTGTGCTTTTTCTGTGGGTTTTATGTAAGTTACAACTAACTTGAGACCAATAAAACAATCTCACATAATTGTATTTTAACTCTTTCAGTACAGGTTCAGTTCCTGAGACCGACCTCGTAACCATTTTGTGCTTGTTATAGTTTTCATGCTATAACTTTTAAATTAGTAAGCGTATGTTAACAAAATTTAGCAGATTATCAGTAAACATTAAAATGCTTTCATATGCAAAATATAAATTTTTCTTTATTAAGTCTTAAGGTTTGTTAAGCAATGTTTTTCTCATGTCTTTTTTCTTTTCGCATGTTGCTTATCCAATATGCAAAGTAATCTTCATTTTAAGATTAAAAATACTTTTATGCATCAGAAAATTTTCAAATTTCACAAGTGAAATCTATATAATGTTAAGAAAATTTTTTTATACCTTATTCATTATTTTCACTAACCAATCTCTGTACGGGTTCGGTAGATTTGACCGATCTTGTAAACACCACAAAAAATTAGGAAATAATAAATATAAAGTATGCCTCTTTTGTTTTAGAATGACAACAAATTATAACACGAAAACATAAATGTTAAAACTAAATAGCTTAAATCTCATAACATTATATATTTATTATATTGTCCTTTCAGCCATGCCTGGCTAACAATACATAAGTTACAATGATGCTGCATACGTGCTCTTATGTTACTGTATCCAATAATATAAAACTGACCTTTAGTATTTACAAAGTGACCTGTCTTGGCTGTGTTTTATTAGACTAGTGTTTTATAAAATACATCCACATTTCAATTATTATACATTATATACATATATAGATTTTTACTATTTAGAAATACGTTCTTATATTTATTTTTCTTAAAACATACAGTAACTAAAGAAGTAAACCAAACAATTATCTCTTCTAGTTATGACCTTTGTACTCGGTTGTTGCTTGACGTAGGTTGTTAAGACTTTTAAATTTTACATGTCGAGGATATGAAACGAAATAATTTTTTCTAAGTTTTATATATACAGTTGAATAATCAAAACGTCATAAATTACTATATCGATACCATAGAATTCCACTATAATTTATCAAGCTAGGTAACTAAGCTGCATTTAGGTCGAAAAAATATGAAATTTCGAGCAAACTAAAGACACAATCTACCTCCTTTAAATCTTGGTTCAAAAGAAAGAAATGGTGTCCTAAGAATTTAAAATGGCTGAGAAAGCCACTAGGGGGAATTCTGAGCTTTCGATTGGTTAATCACATGTCAAATATTGAAGTAAGTGTATATAAGGTACCATTTCCAAAAATGTTTGATTCAGTACGAGTGATATGTCAACAAATAGAAAAGATACGAGTTCATATTTCATATTCTAGCTTGTTAATATCGGTAATTTGAGTTCCTAATTTGTACGAAACTACAGAATTAATATTTTGACATCACAAACATCTAATTTGAACCAGTGCTGTATTCAACATACCACGTGACACACAAAAATCGATGTTTAACTGTGTTTTTTTAATATTTACTTTTAAATTAAGAAATTAAATAATGTATAATACTAAAATTTGAATTATAATCAACAGTTTGATATCAAACTTATTGACATAAATTCATGAAATAGTAGTTCCATAAAATTTTGAAAGCGAGTCAACAAACATGATGACATGGCCTTTGACCTACTACCCGTCTGCAGAGGGTTAATACAGTCATGAGACACCAATTTCAACAGACCTCCTTGGAAGTATCACTCTGTTTCTGTTTAGTTTTCTTATCTCCTGTTTCTCCTAACAGATGCTGCTGATTCCCTATAGGAAAAAAAATTTATTTTCACTATATATTAAACAACAAGACTGTAAAAAATGTTCAGATCTAGCTAATTAAAGTAATTAATTTCCTAATGAATGCAACTAAAACAATTATTTATTATAAAATAACTAAACAAACTGATCTACAACCAAAAACATAAACAACAAGGTGAGTGAATTTCATTTCCAAGGGTCAAGGTTTATTTTGTTTGCTATAGAGTACTTTAATACTCTACTAATACCACAAATATCCTCAACACACAACAGCTACCCTTGACTAGAGCAAAATTGCAATAACAATATTAGGTTAACAGTACTGTAGTTTTTTATGGCATTTTTATAAACATTTTAGATGAGATGTAAGGTTTTGTAATTGCACAAAGTTCAACTTAAAATAGTGAAAATAATTTTTGTAAGTCATTTTGTATCTTTAACTTGTAATGGAATTAGTTTTTTTAACATTCAAAAGTAAAATCTAAGTCTATGAAGTTGAGATGAAAATTGTTTGTGATGAATTCTTTAGTTATTAAAACTGATTCATTTTATTAAACATATCCATACCTGTATTTTCTGTAGAGAAGCTATCACTAAACATCTGTTCATTACATCAACAAACCTCTGTTTCCTTTAGAGAAGCTATTACTAAAAACCTGCTCATTACATAAAAAAACATGTATTTCTTGTAGAAAAGCAGTTATTGAAAATATGACTATTTACATGAACAAATATATATTTCCCATACAAACGTTGTTACTAAAAATATGTCCATTTAAGTGAACAAACCTGTATTTTCTGTTAAAAAACTATCATTTAAACCTGGAGGAAGGGTAAGGTCAGGTGAAGAAAGCTCTTCCATTTGTGTTTCATACTCCACACTAATTGTCCCTCTTAACTCAGTTTGTGGTAAAATGGAATCCAGATAGATATTTTTATTCTCTGAGGTTATTTGTGGTACAGATGAGGAGTTGAATACTCCAGAAGCAGAGGTGACAGGGCCAAGATCCGATGCAGAGGAATTTATCTGAGTTGAGTACAAACGTGGAAGTCCTGAAGAATCTGACTCATTTTCCACCAATTCATTCAGAGAAGGAATAGAACCTTCAAAAAAAAATTAATACATAACTTTTTATTTTTTAACCAAAATGACTGACTACCCAGTCTAGATGCCTGAAGATTGGATCAAATGATGAGATAATAAAGGAGAAGTATATTTTATTCAATCTAAAGGATTAACTATAACATTCCAGTTTTTAACAAATGTAACAGGTAATTTTACCAATTATTTAGAAGGCATGTGACTGTGTTACATAATTTTTAATGATTAGTCTCACATAACTCTACATATGTAGTCAGCAACACTTGAAAACTTTTCACTAATTGTTATAATCAATCATTCACTGCAAGGCACTTCTTACACCACTGCAATTACCTAGTGCTAGCACAGCTACTCAACACTGTTCAATGAAAAGAATGTCATTAAATGTCAATCTGCATATAAGATACTTAAAAGTCTGTGTTAGTTGATGCACAAACTAACTTGCACATCAACAACTATGAAAGGGCAACATACAGCAGAAGAGATACAGGCCAGCAGCTTGGCTCTGACTCAAAAGGTCCTTTTCCAGTGCTCATTTCAACAGTCAAATATCACAGAAATCCACAGGCACTACATCCAGTGACTTCACTATATGCCTTCATATGGATTAGCAAGAATATCCTATTTTTCTCAAGCTGCTTGAAGTATGTGATGGTTGAACAAGACGTATGATTGGAAGCCTTGTCTTGATGAACCCATACCTGTTGGCCTCATTTCCTGATGATTCTGTTGCATTATTGTTGTTTGGTGTAAACGGCTGGCCTATGTGGATTCCCATCTGTTACAAAATGCCACAATTTGCTTACCACAGCAAGGGTACAATTTGTGCATGTCTCTTTCAGGATGGTCTTGGTGTCAAAAGTTCATCCATTCCTTTGTTTTCCAATGCCATTAAGTAGAAGGAATATCCCCATCTTGGAAATTTTAAAACCCTGTTCTGAACACAACTTTATAATCTGACCGTATGAATATTTCGTGGCCAAAAGGCTGTTACACACCTTTCCCAAAAGCAATCAATTTTTGATAGCATCACATGACTACGAAACACCAAGCAATGTCAAAATGTAGTTTTGATACATGCCATTCCACTGTAACTTTACATCAGCTGTGGTTGTTATCTGACTTGCTAAATTGCATATTGAAAATCATTTTGACAGAAGGAACTTAAATCCTGTGCCCTTGTTTCAGTTCTGCACCTTCTAACATGAATCATTGATTAAATTTGGTAAATACAAATTTCAAAATCTCAGACAACGTAAAACTCCACTTTCTGACAAAAGAATAAAAACCATATTTCTTTCCACAAAGGGCTTGCACCAGCTGGTTAGGTATGGCCTAATGAAACAGTTGATATTTTAACAATATTTAACCAAGGAGACACAAGACTTCGAAATCATATGATCAATTACCAATTATTTGTACAGTTCACAATGTATCTGATGTTACAGCCCTTTTCAAACATTTTATCTGGCTTGGTTTAAAATTATTAGAGTTTATATTCCTCCTCACAGTAATTGCTGATAGAACTTTATTCAATTCACATGAAAATGGTAAATTGCTTAACGCCATAATGTTTGGCAAGAAAGTGATAGTGCTCAGATATCAGCTACAACAGGAGCACCAATAAAATTTCAGGAAAGGTTAGCACATACCTTTTGTCTCTGTACAGAACTAGAGAAACAATAGGGTACTACTTAAATTGAGTTATGACCTTAGGAATGAAAGGTTTTAACAGTGACAGGGAGCTTCCCAATTGGCAAAAACTGTAGACACTACTACTAACTCAACCAATGTATATTCTGAAAAATTTGCAAGACTAGTAGTAATATAAAGAAACTTTTCTTAATGGCAAAATGTCAGTTGAAGGATAGAAAATATGTTATTACAGCAGTCAAGTAATAGAACAGTTTTGGGAAAAGGGAAAAAAAATACTGGTAGTGCACAGCATACAGTTTATTGAGGCTGGTTTTGTACTTGCACTACCATGCTCTACTGATGTTATGCCTTTCAATATACTTAAAAATCAAGTTTAAGCTCTCACGAGTGTACAAGTTTCATCTCTAAATCTTTTACATCATAACATAACTCCTTATTTCCAAGAAATAACATCTCCTTCAAAAATATGCATATGTAAACACTATTTCAAACTGTTTCAATTACTTAAATCAATAATTAAGGTTAATTACTTCAAAAAATATGTACATGTAAACACTATCTCAAACTCTTTCAATTACTTAAATTAATAACTAAGGCAAATTACTTCAAAAATATGCACATGTAAACACTATTTCAAAATATTTCAATTAAATAAATTAATAATGCTAATTACTTCAAAAATATGCATATGTAAACACTACTGCAAACTCTTTCCATTACTTAACTTAATAACTAATGCTAATTACTTCACAAATATGCATATGTAAACACTATTTCAAAATATTTCAATTACTTAACTTAATAACTAAGGCTAATTACTTCACAAATATGCACATTTAAACACTATTTCAAACCTTTTAAATTACTTGAATTAATAACTAAGGCTATTGCTTAAAAAACATGCATATGTAAACACTATTTCAAACTGTGTGAATTACTTAACTTAATAACTAAGGCTAATTACTTCACAAATATGCACATTTAAACACTATTTCAAACCTTTTAAATTACTTGAATTAATAACTAAGGCTATTGCTTAAAAAACATGCATATGTAAACACTATTTCAAACTGTGTCAATTACGCCAATCAATAACTAAGGCTAATTAGAGTAAATTCACAGTTAATCACCATCACCTGAAAGTGCCAATCCTAAAACACTATTTTTTAATCCCTTCAAAACCATAGGGGATCACTAATATCCTTCTCAAAGTGAAATTTGATAATTTTGAGATCTGTAAAAAAAGATATAAAGTTCTGCCCTTCTTCTCTGTTATTTTTTTAAACTAAGAATGATTAACTGCCAATTTATTTACTTAAGCAATTTTTATTATATTTTCATTCAGGAATTTTTATGACTCATCTGTCACTGCCTGCTATCTTCAGTTGATAGTAAGGTTGTTTTTTTTGTTTGCTGATTCTTGAAAACTTTCTCAATTTTTACCAATTATTTTTATTGGTTTGTTTTCTTTGTTGGCTTATTCTTGAAAACTTTCTTAATTTTACTAATCATTTTGATGTTTTTTTATTTTAGTTGTCTATTCTTGCACTCTAATGATATTTTTTTTAGGTGTTAATATTAATTATAATTAAAAAGTAGTTCAAACTCATTGGCCAAGAGAAAATTGACCCAACAATAACTGATTTATCAAGCATTCGTTTCACAGCTCTTAAGGCTCATAATTTTGAATAGCCATGACTAACATTGCTGATTAGATGAAAAACTTGATCTAGGTTTACAATTTCATCATTAGCAATTTATTGTTTATTCCTCTTTTAATATTATAATGTTTTCAAAATATCAGCTTTTTATAAAAAATAAAAACAATTTCAATTGGCAAGCAAGGGTGTCTGGGGAATTGATGAAATATAATCTAGGTGAGAAAAGATTTTAGAACATAAAAATAGTAAAATATTTTACAAGTTTTCACAAAATTACACTCAGACATTTGGAATCTTATCTGTTCCATCTTAGCATTATTACCTCTGTGTTTACATAAAAACACAGTTGGAATAGAAAAGTTTCTATAACCTAAGACTGCTAACTATAAAAATAGTATATTCTATAATTTTAACTTTCTATTTTAATTAGAAGGAATCTACCATCATGTTTGTTTTCTCATGCAATTTTACATAATATATGTGAAAACAAATGTTTAGCATAAAATCATGTCTCACTTATCACATATTCTAAAAATCATTGTAATATAAAGTGTATTTTGCCTTAGAGATATTTTCACAACATAGTCTTATTTTTTAATGCCATAATCCAAGTTTTTTAAATGCATTTAATGTTTCCCAGCTATTTACATAATCAAAATAATTTCTATTACATAAAATGTGAAAAATCTAATAATGTAACCAGTGAAAAAAATCAGTCTTTTTGCTATTACAATTATAATAACTTTGCAGGAAGAACTTGAAAAACTGATATAAACTAACCCTTACCTGAAGTAGGAAAAGAAGGAATAACATTCTTTTTCAGTAGAGGAGGTGCATTCTTTATAACTGCTTGTGTCATTATCATTTCAAAAAACAAAAAAACGATCACTAACAATGTCACATTAAAAATTATCACTACAGTTTTATATGTAAATGTCATTTGCTAAACCTTGCAAAAAAATATAAAAACTGTTTGGTTTTACAGTAAACATGTTATAGGAGTTTCCAGGTTACTGCAAAGCTGAGTGAAAATAGAAATATTAAATTACTGGTTAGATTAGTGGATAACCTGACCTATGACCAAAAATGCTGACTTTGTATAATATCAGGAGCTATTCTTCAATAGTAATCTACTGATTAGATTAGTGGTTAGCCTAAAATTTGTCCAAAAATGCTGACTTTGTATAATATCAGGGGTTTTTTTTCAACAGTAATCTACTGGTTAGATTAGTGGTTAACTTGACACAAATGCTGGCTTTATATGATACCAGGGGTTGATTTTCAACAATTAAATTAGTGATTAATCAGAAATCAAACCAAAATTGATCAATTTGTATAATACTAGGGCTACTTTTCAAAATGTAAACTGATAGTCAGATTAGTGGTTAACCTGAAACCTAGATACAAATGCTGATTTTGTATAATACAGGCCTCCCAGCAGCATATGCTGCTGCCAGCCTTTAAAATAAACACTAAATTTGACAAATTACAAGCTGAAATTTACTGAAATACAGGATATGTTTAGGAAAATCTTGCTTGCAGAGATGCTATATTGTGATTGGCATATAGAACCAAACATGAATATATATTTCAAGACAACTGAGGATAATCTTTCTTAACTTGTAACTGAGAACATTTATGTGTCACTGGCCACAATGAGTGTCTGTTTCAGGACACTTATGATAGTTTCAACTAATAAATTAATTTTTAAAGAGCAAGAAATTTATAACTGTAAACATAAACATAGTTTACTGGCTGAAGCATTGAAAAACAGACTGTTATGTTTTTTAAGTATTTATACAGGTTTTACAGAATAGACTTTTGAAAAAAAGCTTTAGAGGTTAGCTGGGAGGGGAGGGAGTAAGTGATGTATTTTCTTCCTACAATGAAAATACTTAACCTAATAACACAGAACTTGGAATGAACTTACTAAATGGTATCAAGCTTTGGCTAAAAGAAAAAATTAATATAATTTGATTTAGTTTAGAATTTTGTTTATGGTATAAAAATTCCAAAGTTTTGTTACAAAACATTTTTAATGGGATTTCAGAATATTACTTCCTTCATCTTATTTCAAATATTTCTTTTAATTATTCATCAAAAATTTTATATTTAATAAGTATTGTTTATCTTCAGTAAGTTTGTTCATTTATGTGTATGTTAAACTTAAAAATAATATTCATTCAACAATCATTTCAGTCAATTAAATGTTTTACTATTGCTTACTGTACTCAATAAACCTACAGCTTACCTGATGTCTTTTCGAGAAATTTCCACAGCTTTCAAATAACATAAAAACATTTTTAGGAATGACCAATCATCATAAGAAACTATAAAAAATACCCAGATCTTTGGTTTGTTCCTAAGTCTTCTAAACTTCCCATTAGATTCTGTTGCATTTCCTTGCAAGTGCTCCATCTCGTCTCTTTTCTACGAGACCATAATTACTCCTCATGCCACTTTATTGATTCTACATTAACGAAAATGATTTGTTATCTGCTCTACCCAATTATACTTAAACTTTATAGCTAAATATCACTTTCAGCTTTTTCAAAAAATTGTAATGTGATCATAATACAATTATCTGAAGAATGGTGGTTATATCAAGTTGCCCAACAGTGACGCTAATTTTCATGATGTTTTTAAATACAAGTTAAGATCAATGATTTTTGTAAAGCTGTCAAATGAATATAGGGAATCAACCAAAGTTTCTATCTCAAATTATTTTCTTTAACTAGCATGTGCTTACTCTCTCTGATTGCAGTTCCTGGTATTGTAAAGGTTGAGAAGCACTAGACAAGAGGAAAAACAGCTGATCAAAACCACCCACCATAAACACTTTGGCTACTTTTGTCAGACTGAATAGTGAAATTTCACTGTCACTTTTATAATGCACCCATGGCCCCAAAGTGAGGAGCATGACTATTTTTTCAGTAACTGGACATGAAACACTGGACCACACTCATCCCAAACAGTTATTGCAACACTGATAAAACATGCACCAATTCTGCCTTTAAGTACCACATGTACTTTTTCATTAAAATACAAGCTGATTGAACAAAGAAAATATAATAATTAAATTATTATAGTCAGCCATTATAAGAACACTTTTTGAGTACTATATTGGTTTATACAAGTTGCAAAAACTCAAAACAAATTGTTAACAAATATACACATATATTTTAACATGAAACTTCTTATTAAATAGCTTATGTTTTTCACACACAATTAGAATATAAATCATATATAACTATGCATACTACAACTTTGAAATCCACTAAAGTCTATGTAAAGTGGTTACTACCTTCTTGCTTGTAATTAGAATAGGAAGAACTGAGGCTGAGATCAAGTGAAGAGGACTGTCCACCTATGTCTTCATAGCTTTGGGGCAACTGCAAGTCTATAACTTCATCAGTTTGAAGAATATCATGCAGTTCTGGATGTAAAGACCGCAAGTGTGGTGGGAGCGCTTGATGATACACGAGTTGTTGATCTTCGGACTGCTGTAGATGGCATCCATGTTGAAAAGTACCTTGTATAGGAAGTTGGTTCTGTTTAAATAGTTGTTGTGGCAAATTTTCTTGACATATCTGTTGGACATTGACCTTATCCTCCAGTTGTCCATGTTGAAGAGGTTGATACAGTTGTTGGCAGTTCTCTCTATTATCAGGTACTACTGGTTTCTGGGAATTTATGACATTTTCAATTTGGTTACATCCATGTTGAATACTGTTTCTATAATCAAGTTGGCTATGCTGAGAAGCTCTGAAAGAGCCCTGGGTAAATTGTTTACTATGCTGTGATGGCTGAAAGAGATAAATAGTACTTAAATAGAAAATTCATTAAAAAGATTACACATTTTTATCAACTACGACATCTCGTTCCAAACCAGTATAAAGTTTTCCTTTAACAAGTATTGCTTAATTTCAGCACTTAAGCCGACGCATGCACGCCATACATATATAATGTTTGATATTCAAAAACCAATGTACAGCATAAAATAAAATATTTAAATAATAAAAAATTATCTAATGTTTTTTATTTGTACCTACACAAATGTCTAGAGTATATAAGAGTAATAACTTAACCCTTTCCAGACCAAGTGAGGAGGTGAGGGTGCCAATGGCATCTTTTGATCATTTTCTTTCTAAAAGTGGAGATACTTAATCATATAGCATTAAAATTAGTAATAACTTACTAAATAATATCTAGTTTTGGTTTAAAATTTCCTTTTCCTATCATTTTTTAGAATGTGAAATTTCAAAAATTGAGACACTTTTTGAAAAAAATGTTAAAACACTTCCTTTAATAATAGAATTTAATTTTTTATTGTTGATCACAAACTTTATTTGATATACACAATCAGGTTCACCTTCATTGATATTCATTAAAATTTTGCTTTTGATAATTTATTTTTGTCTATTGTATTAAACAACACTTCACACCTATAAACACTAAAAAAATAAACACAGCCAAAACTGACAAAGATTTATTGGCAACTGACGACCTGACCTGGTATCAGTTCAAACTAGATAATAATATTTTTGCTGAAAATATTCTAAGTCAAGATTGATTTATGTCTAAGAAATATACCTTCTTTTCAATAAATAACAAGATTATTTAACTTGTTAAATTGTTTGAATACGATAAACTTCTCTTCTTCTCATAGAAGAAAACTTCTGTAACTTTCAAACAAATATAAGTTAACACAAAAACATTTTCTGGGAAGAAAAACGCATCTAAAGAACATGCAAAAATAAATCCTTATGTGTAGTTTGTGTCCAAATATTCTAAACTTCCAACTAAATTCCACTGTTGTTCTTTAGGTAACTACATCTAATCTTTTCCAAAAAACCACAACTTGCTTTTAACCCAATTTTATTCATCTTACATTGATGTAAGTAGTTGAAAATCTGCTCTACCATGAAGTGGTACTTAAACTTTTCTTGTGGGTAATTTTAAAGAAGAGTTTCATTAGTAGCTTCTCATATCACATACTGTGAGATCATAAAAGGGTGTAGCAAAGATGTAATGCTAATAAGTTCAGAGAAATAGAAGGAAAATCATTTGAGAAACAAAACCTTGAGAATAAGTCATATGAAATAAGATTCTCAGCAATAATAAATCTATGCTTTGTGGTGGATAGAAAAAATAATGAAACAATCTACAAGTCCAATGTTTACAGGCAAGACTCCTCAGAGCTGTGATGAAATGTAAGATTGGAATTAGTTTTTTCTTTGTGAATTACATTAAAGAACAATTAAAGCATTATTAAGTAAAATACTACACAACATACAATCTATGCTGTGTCCACAATGATACCAAAACCCACTTTTTAGTATTATAAGCCTTCAGACTTACTGCTGAGTTACTGGGGGGGTGTACAAAATATTAATTTTAAAATATTTTGAGTAAGAACTATTTTTGTATCTAAATGTTTAAGTATGATATGCAGGTGTGCACTTAACACTTGAAAGGTGGTCACAGGTCCAGATAGGGTTAAATAGTATAGAAGAGAATAATGTGTTGTCTCTGTCAAGTCATCATTCGCTTAAAATACATTGTTAAATTATTTGATACAGGAAAAACATAAAAAATAAGATAAAATTTTATCTAAAATATTCTTTGAGAATATGCAAGAGAGTAATTTGTGTATAAAGGTGCAATGGAGGATAACTTCTACACTACTCACAAAAATTAAATGATAATGAGGGTTGTTTAAATTTGCATATTTTTATGTTATGAATGTTTTTCAGATTTAGAAAGCTTATTATTGTTGAGGGTTACACTAATCCAACCTAGGAATTGCAAGTTTATGCATCAATGATTTCTTATGAAAATAGGCCTTTATGAGAAATGACCCAAATTCTGCAGGGCAAAAAGCTAGTTTTGATTGATTACAAAAGATGGCTACTGTTAACATAATGCTATATTTGTGGATTATTTTGTTAGTATTGATTTTTGCAAAGAGTGTACAACTTGTTAGAAACCAGTTAACTGAAAGTGAAGTTTGCAGAGCTGTCACATTGCAACAGGAGGGCCACACCCAAACTGAGGTAGCACAGGTCATGAGGATGTCACAATCTGTGGTCAAAAGATTGTGGCACAAATACCATGCCACAGGAGAATACAACAGGAGGCCAAGCCAGGGTTGCAGAAAGGTTATAGGTGGAGTATGCAACCAATATCTGCAGAATTTAGCCCTCAGAAACCACACCAACAGCACTAGAGAACTCTGGAACAAGCTCCGGCAAGCCATTAGAGTGAGTGTGTCATGCTCAATGGTCAGGAACAGGCTCCATGAGGCTGGGCTCAGGATACCAGTTAGAACCTCCATACTAACCCCAAGGCATTGAATATCCCAGTCGGCATTTGTTCAGGAACATGTCAGCTGGACCCTTCAGTAATGGACCCTTTAACTGTTCACAGATGAAAGCAGGTTCTGTGTATCTTCAAGTGATCGATGTGTGAGGGTCTGGAAACATTAAGTAGAGCAATATTCAGCCTGTAACATTGTGTATCTGATATCTTTGGGGGTGGATCAATCATGGTCTCAGGTGGCATCTGCATACAGGGTCATACAGACCTCTATGTGGTGGATGAAGGATTCCTGACAGCAAGATTCTACATGGATGAAATCCGACTACCCATTGTTCACCTGTTTGATGATGAGCTCATGTATCAGCAGGATAATGCTTATCTTCACACTGCCAAAATCACAAAGCATGTTTTTCAGGATGAAGGAATAAAGGTACTGGATCTAAATCCAATTGAGCATGTGTGGGACTTGCTAAGGAGAGTAGTTAGATAGAGACAACCTGCTCCTACGACTGTCCAGGAGCTCAGAGCTGCCTTCATTCAGGAGTGGACTGTGATGCCCCAGCAAGTTATCTGAAACATCACCATCAGTACAGAGAGTAGGTACAGGGAAGTAAAAACAATAGAGGAGGACCTACCAGCTACTAAAAAGACTCATTTTGTTAAGTTTATCTTAATACATTATCTTTTCTATGATATTTATGCAAATATTGGCATCTTTTCATTAATTTTGCTTTTTTGTTACTTGTACATGAATTTTTCAAATTGCATAGTATTGTTTATTTGTGATATTTGTTAGAAAAAAAAAGTTTTGTCAATGTTGAACATCTTTCTGTGTTTTTGCTTCACATTTTTGAAAAAAACATATCAAAACCTCATTATTCTTCAATTTTTGTAAGTAGCATATTAAAAAAAAACTAGCATTTTGTAATAACTATTCCAAAACAAAGAGCTAACACACCTGAAAATCACTTTATTGAAAATATCACTTTACAGTTTCTGAAGTGTAGAAACCATAATACTCACTCAAAATCTCAACTTGCTTCAAATAAGAATTATTTTCCTATTTTCTTTTGTTCATGACTTGGAAAAACGTTTCGAATATTTCTTAAGAAGTAAAAGAAGAAAAACATAGTAATATGTATGACCATGTATCATACTAAGATACCATCTTTTCATATTTTTTTAAGCAATAAAATTATAGCTCAGCAGCAATTAATCACAAAAAATGTTATAACCACTGCTTTCAGAACAGGTCACGAAAAAGCTGTGGCAAAGAAACTCCAATAAGATCTACAGTAAAGAAATACAGATTACTTAGTAACAATGGCAAAATCAATAAAATTTATAACAGCATAATGTTCATATTATTAAATTACCTCATTTTGGTCCTTCTTTGGCTTCCGTCCAAATTCTGTGATTAAGTCAACAAAATCATCAATAAATATCACCAACCTTTTCTGAAACATCTAAAGCTAAACAGTAGGAATATAAAAAGCATATCATATAAAAACAAATGTTCACTTCAAATTTTTTTTTTTTTATTCAAAATAATCTTGTTAAATTTGATGCTCTTCATTACATTTAACTAAAGTAATATACAAAAGGATTAATTAAAGCCAATAGATAGTATTTGATGTTAATCTCCACATTGACAAATAACACATTCTTCGTGGATTTTGTACTTTATTACTGTAAACTTTATACTATACTAAGATTACGGTGTGCATTCCTTTTATTGTGGATTTTGTACTCTTTATTATAATGTGTGCATTATTTATATTGTGGAAATTACCAACAGGGGTTTTAAAAAGGTGGGGGATACTTTAGATGTCAAAAGATAAAAATAGGAAAAATTCATCAACTTGGGCAAATATGGAAAGATACTGTATTTTATGTGAAGACGGAAAGAGACCAGAAATGGAAGTGAACTAGTCCAATAAAATGATAACATTGGACTTACTTTGCTTGTTTTACAGATAGAAAGGAGGTTATGTACCTGTGGTGTTTATGGTGAGAGAAAGATGTACACTGTGATTCAAAATATGTAGTTATAAAAATGAACATTGCAGATTTCAATATTTATGACTAAGAATTCAAATAATCCATGTAATCTATAAGAAATGTTACTATTTGCTTCTGACAGCATACTATAATAAGCAGTTATTATATACTAAACCAATTACATTATTATTTAACATTTTTAAGTTCCAGTTCAAAATCAGGAAATCCATTATAGGTCTTGGGATGGTCCTAGATTTTAGAACTATAACAATAGCCAATGCAGGTGGTATTCACCATCACGTAGAATGGCTGTATTGTTGACCATCACCACCTTGGTGAGAGGCTACTTTACAACTGTGCATTTGACTGGCCTAGCAACAGAGAACTAAGTGAATTATAGAAGTTTGGCAAAGATGGCAAAAAAACAAATCAACCTCCAAACTGCACAAAGCTAAGTGGTACAAAAGATCTGAAAGTTTATGTTCTTTGTTAACAGGAGACTTGTATAACCATCTTCCAATTTTCTATCTAACAGTAACTCCTATTATTTTTATTTTCAGTTCAGTTTAACTCTTAGTATCTTCAATTAATTCAGCTTTCTATATTTTGGAACTTTTCTTTATCCATATCAAGTTTATTTACTTTATTAATCATTAAAAATGTTTGATGTTATTAAATATCACATGCAAGTCATATTTTATTTTTTCTGACAACAGGTCATTCACTTTTCTTTCAACCAACTAAATCTTGTTATTTTGCTTGATTTGTGCACTTTGAATTTCAAGTCTCAGGGTTTTACAGCTTAAGTATAGACACACAAACTGATGTGATGGCCAGGAATATTTGAGTTTACGCAAAAATGATGAAATTCTTCATCTTCTTTGAATTTTTTCTAATTTGTATTCTAAGTGAGGTATTCTACCTAAGAGGTTCTCTGTATAGTTTGTGTACTTATGGCACAAAGGAGAAGACTTGTGCTGATTTCTGTATGAGATCAGAGGACTAACAATAGAGCCCCTTGTTAAACATAGAGTGCTCTAAAGCACTTAATAAAGCCCTTCAGAGCAGAGTATCATGATCAGACCATACAAAGAGACTAAACTTTAGCTCAAGTTACTCTAAGATGCTGATGGATGCCATTACAAGTTTTCTGATTAAAACCATAGAGAAACCTTTCAGTATGCAGGTATAATGCGTGTTTGCTGGCCCTTTGAAATAGATCAAGAAAGTCATTGTTCTAAATTATTGACCCAAAGTACCACTTCTGTCTTCTGTAGGAAAGTTTCAAGCAGAGTTGTACATACAATGTGTAAAAGGTGACCTTTCCCACTGGCAGATCAGGTGATATCTTGAGGATATCCCTTTTGTTTCAATGGAAATGACAGGCAGTCACAAGAGTAGAACACACTTCTTGAGAGAGCTAGCATTGTTTTTTGTTTTCAGTACTATGTTTTCACAGTCTAGGACAGATTAAAAACTTAAAAGATTTAAAGAGATCAAGAGCTTCTTGATTATAGAGTTCTCTCTACAGTAAAGGTGCCATCCCTCATTCATTATACACATACTATTTTAATTATCCTTGTGTATGAAATAAAGACTGTTTCACTGTGTTTTAAATTGCATCCAGTCTCTTACATTCAAAAACTTAGAGTCAGATAATTCAGATTTATTCTGTAACATTTTCTGTTGGACCTCTTATTCTGTGTAACCTGCTGGACCACTCTTAGAGGAAATCAATGAACATAGAATAACACAAAGTAGGGGAAGGAGAAAGTTTTGGTACTATGACCACAGGGTTGTTATTTCAGTTTTCTGTTTTCTTTGATATGTGTATTTTTCTGTGCTCTCCTCTTATACTGCCAAGTTTAAAAAGACCTTGCCCTTGAAGAAATGGCACTTTCAATAAGTCCAACTTATGACCAAGGAAGAAGCACAAACAAATGAGGGTCATTATGGTTCAAAAAATACCTGGTGATTTTTTTCTCCAAAACTTTTTCAACTTTCAAGTATTTTTTGCAAAATTATTTCATATCTTTCTTTAAAAATTAATGGAAATTATACAAAGCTTATCTCTTTGATACACCAGTAGCTATAATTTCAGTCTATAAATTGATATGACTGTTTAGACAGTAACTGGATTTGACTTATTTCATTTATATGAAATTTACTATTATAATCTAAAGACTTTTTATGATGTTTGTTTGTCTTTGCATTTCTGTCTCTTTTATTACTTTAAGATTTATTTTGTTTGTCAATAATTGAAAAAAAGTTACAACAATGCATTACTATATATTCCAACTGTGATAATTTTTGGGATAAATAAATGATAATTCAACAATTTCAATAACATATATTGATAAAGGATGGATGAATTGGGCCAAATGAGAAGCTAGACGATTGGAGAAACCAGATCTCCTCACCAAGGACTGGACAAAAGCCAGACGTGAAGACGAAGGACGTGAAGTGCAGGATGTAGAACCAGTGACGGGGTTGACGAGGGAGGTTGGTTAATAAGGAAAGTGGTACTGGAGGGAATAATTGTAGGTAGAATAAATGAGGAAACCATGGTTAAGCAGGCCAGTAGAGAGTGATCAGAATGACCCGGCAAGGAATGGCATGGATTAGGGAAACTACCCGATGAAGTAATTGGATAGGAAGATAAACATACAGGTTGAAGACATCTATAGCAAAAGCCAGAGGATGAGGAACTAGGGACCAAAATAAGAGTAACTGGTGATTGAGGATGGTGGCAAAAACATTGATGTGAGAAACACCCCACAGACTGCAAAGCCACCAAAAACAAGAGGATGAAGAGACAAACAACTACATGAGGTAAACCTTGTCGGGGCAGGAAAGACGATCTGCCACAAGGTTGAAATCACCCGGGACATGACATGTAATCAAACAAATATGTTATGCATGGACCCAATATAGGAGATCCAATGTGTAAAAACAGAGAGATCTCGACTGGGTGCTGCCTTGATGATTAATATAAGCCACCACCATGGAATTGTTTGAATGGATCATTACCATATAATGTTTGGCAATGGGAAGAAAGTGATCCAAGGCCCAATGAATGGCTAGGGGCTCTAGGATATTGATATGTAAAGATTGTTCATCTAGAGAACAACAACCCAAAGCCTCCTGGTAATCGACCCATGCACCCCAGCTCTGATGCTTCTGTAAACAAGTGTAAGTTCAGACAAAGAGGAGAAATTGAGAAACCCGCCAATGTGCGAGTCTTGTCCAATTACCAAATAAGATCTTCTACATAGGAAGGAAGAAGGGTGATGGGAGCATCTAAGGGATCCCAAGCAAGGTTCCATTGATCATGCAAAGTCCACTGAAAGGAGAGTGTGTGCATGGCCTGAGGGGGATTAGTGGTGTCTATGTTGGTGATGTCTTGGTGTTTGACCTCATGATGAAATCTGTTACTAAAGCCCAGAGCAATATACTCTGGCAAATAAGAAAGATAGGCTTGAAGTTGAAACCAGGGAAATATATATTCATATGCATGGAGGTAGAATTTCTTGGTTATATTGTGGGTAGAGATGGATTTTTAGTGACCCTGCAAAAATCACAGCAGTATGAAATTGGCCTTAACCTATGACCAAATGAGAGGATTGCAGTTCCTTGATTTTCAGTTGTATTATCAACAATTTGTGGCCAACTTTTTCAAGAACACCAACCATTACTTGCTATCACTAAAGACAGACACATTTTAAATGGAGTGAGAAGTGTGAGCAAGCATTCATGTCACTAAAAATCCAGTGTTGCTGTATTCAAAACAACAGAATTGCAAGTTCTTGTTGGATACTGATGCCAGCAATAACTGAATCAGATTAGAGTTACTGCAGTTGCAGAATGGAGTAGAACATGTAATTATGTACGCTTATGGGTCCTGAATGCAGATACTGTATGAAGAGGAGAGAACTGCTTTCAATTGTGTTTTTCACAAAACATTACCAACACAGCTCATTATGGATGGACCATGCACCACTGAAGTGGCTTATGAATTTTAAAAATCTTGAAGTAACTCTCAATACCGTAATGCTGAATGGCATCAAATTTGATCTTGGGACTGTTGACCATGGTACATTTAAAAACAAAAGATTTGTTTCATTTCCATACTCACTATTTAAGCTACAGTTCCATTCTTTTCTTAATTATTCTTACCATTTTACATACCAGAAAGGGTTATTCAATTATTTTTAAGCTATTCTATTTTATTCCTTTACCATATTTCTTTCTAAAGAATAAAGTAGTTTAGAAAAAGGAGTTTTGTCTTGAGAATGAAGTGCTTTGCTCTTTTGAATAAGCTATTTGTTCCCTATATATATATATTAGAGAATAGTTATTACTATTCAAGTTTGTTGCCTGGAATTAAATGCATGTCCTCAACATTTCTGT